GAAGACTTTTAGGGCAGTGAAAATACTATGATTTATAATGGTGGATATATGTCATTATGTATTTGTCCAGACCCGTAAAATGTACAACACTGAAGAGTGAACCCTATAATGTAAAGTATGGACTTTGGATGATAATGTGTCAGTCAGTGTAGGTTCATCAACTGTAACAAATACACCATTTGGTAGAGGATGCTGATGGGGGGGAATCATGCACAATACTGTGTCACATTTGCTGTGAACCTAAAATGGCTCTAAAAAATAAAGTCTATCTTAGGGACTCCTGGGTGGCTCAGTCAGTTAAGCGTCCCATTCTTGACCTCAGTTCAAGAGGTCATAATCTCAGGGTCCTGGGATGGAGCCCCGCAACAGGCTCCATGCTCAGAAGGGAATGTCCTTTTCCCACTCCCTCTGCTTTTCCCCACCCCGCTCATGCTCTTTCTCTCTCGTATAAATAAAATCTTAAAAAAAGGTGCATGAGGAAGTCTTTTGGGGGTGATGAAACTCACACTGTATCTGTGGTGGTAGTTATACAACTGTTTGTACTTATAAAAGAACTATACAACAATAAAGGGTGAGTTTTACTGCATTTTATTTTTATTTTCCTGTAAATTATACCTTAATTTTTTTAAGTTTTAAAAATGATTCAAGAGACAAATATGCAAATTCAGAGAATAAATCTCTGAAAAAACACAAAGGAATCAGAATACTGAAAGTTCTTATCCAAACTGTCCTGAAATTAAAAGAAAAAAAATTCATATTACACATGTACACATTTTTCTTAATACACTGTACCTATGAATATCAACTTAGAACAAAACCAACACCAAGATATATTCCAGTAAAATTACTGATTTACAAAAAAAAATCACTTGGGCATCTAGGCAAAAAGAGCAACTAATTAGTAGGTGAAAGAAAATTAGACTGTCATCAAAGTCTACTGCAAAACTGAAGCAACATATTCAAGGTATTTCAGGAAAGAACATGAGCCACTGATTTTACATTCAGCCAAACTGACATTCAAATATAAAGGACACAAACTGTTATCAACATGCAAAAACTCAGGGAATATTGCTCCCATGAGCCCTTCCTAAGGAAACATCTAGAGAATAAGATTCCAGAAAACCAAAATGATTAGAGATAAATGAACTAGTGGGAGGCACTGAATATATACTTACTTAGAAAACAAAGTCCAAATGGAGACTGTATGCAGGTTAAATGGGAAGCCTCACAGTATGTAATGAAAACATACTCTCACAATATAGAGTACAACTATTTAATGGGAGTAGGGTGGGGAATGGGAATGATATTCCTGTCAGTTCTACCTGCTTTCAGGTCTCATATTGGTGGTAGTATTTTTCATACCGTTATTCTGAGACTGCAATGTAATATGGGATAAACCAAATAAGTAATTACAGGATATTCAAATTCCATCATCCCATGTCCCTGAGAACTAGGACACTCAGTATTAAAGGAGACACACAGGTAATTATACAAAAGGTTAACTAAAAATCCCTGTTATTCTAAATCTGAATCAAAAGTATCAGTATAGTTTAACAAGGTATCTTAACTGTAAATATACAAATGTATTTTATATATTTAAAAATATTTTATATGAAGCATGTAAATATTATCATCTATCTTTCCATTGTAAATATGTGTGACTCTCTTTCTCTCTCTATATATATATATGACAAAAAGATATGATATGTATAGTCCTATTTCCTAGCTCCATCCAGTGGAAAGACCTAGAAACAATGACGAACCCAATAGCAACAAGCATCCCTAGCAATGGATATTTTGGTCTTGAAATATCATTTCTAACTAAAAAAAAAACAAAAAAAAAAACAAAAAACCAGATTTCTTGGAAAAAATTATCCATTCCAGGTTGGAGGCATAAATACACAAGATGAGTCAAGAAAATCTTGCTATACCAGACAGCAAGGAAACTACCAAAGACAATCAGGGTTGTATCAAAAACTCAGAAACCATTTAAGAAGCTCTCCCATTAGTCAACAACAGGACAATTTAAGCATCACAATAAAAGTAATAATTACAATTCATGACGTACATCTGAAACCCAAATGTTTAGACATAGTAATAATGACACTTTAAAAAACCTAATTAGTCACCCTCAAAGGATGATAGTTTATATTGAAAACTAGTAAATAAAAGGAAAGAAACTTTCTTTTCTGCCTTTCCTATATAAACTGTACACTGGGTAATCAATCTGTAAGTAAGGAAAAGCATCTCTTTATAGATGCAGCTCACTTAATGGGAAAAAAAAAATTACAGAATTAGAATATCACTATTTTGCACCCAAAGGAATTAATGGCTCTAGGCACTGAACATCAGTAGAAAAGAAGACCTTCAGACTTTATGTGTGGTCTGAAGAAAAAGCACAGCACTACCTTGAGCCCTGCCCAGGGGATAAATAGGAGCCTGACCGAGCCTCTGCATCCAGATGCCCCTTTGAAGAGGATGAAAAACATGTTGAACTGTATGAGTCTCAGTAAGCAAAACAGAGACTGTGGGAAACAAGTCAAACCACCCAAGTTCAACACAGAGGGGGGAACCTGTAAATTAAGACATACTAAATAAAAACTGGGGGTAGGGGACTAAACTATAATGCTTAGATATACATAAGTTGGTATTAAAGCTAAATGGAAGGGACGCCGGGGTAGATGAAAAAGTTCTAATTCTTGACCTGGATAGTGGTTTTACAAGGCTTTTGGCCTTATAATAATTCATTAATATATTTTTTTGTGTGGTTTTATGTGTTTCATTTTACAGTAAAAAAAAAAAAAAGCTTTCTTTAAAAAGTAAATGATCAGTAGTCATCTGACTATCTGGTTACCTCCAAATGGCAAAAGGAACTCACCACCCACCCATTCCCCTGGAACCAGAGGAGTACATGAGACAACTGTGGGTCTAGGATTCAATGACCTCAGATCCCTAGAACTTTGCAACACAGAATCTTAAGGAACTGGTGCTAAAGCATATATATGAACTGCCTTCGCGTGAACTGAAGTCAGTCTTGACAATTTCTACACATAGGAGCTTATGTATTAAAGACTGGCTAAGACAATAAAGTGACCTTCCTGATTGTGGCTTTATTACTAGACCCTGTTCCATAGACCTATTTCAACTAATAGTTTATTCTAAATGATACTAACATACTTCCTTCCTATCTTGTATACAGATTTCTTCCCAAAGCTCATTTGCAAGGAGTTCCCAACATGAGGTAGAGGGAGGAAAGAGTAAAGAAAAATCCCCTTAACCTCAGAGATAAAATCTCACTGAGTACTTTCTAAGCTTATCCTGACATTGTAAGAAAAAGGAAACTTCCTATAAGCCAAGGACATACAATTCAAAAACTGCTAATACAGGCTGAAAAAAGAGAAAAATACAATCAAATACCAATCCTGAAGAAATTCAAAGGGGAAAGCAGGAATGGGTGACTGCCTAAGCTTTGAAGGTAACTGGTAAATCAGAGAGCATATTTCCCTTTGGGCTACCCTGACCCAGAAAGTCAAATCTGACAAAGAGAGGGGAAAAAAGAAAATTTTTACTCTACCACACCTACTCTATGAAACTGAACTCAATTTAATTACCACCACCAGCACTCTAAAAACCTCGAGAGAGGGAAACCTGGAGAGACTAATGTGGGTACCCAGGGAGAATGTTTAGGTACTGAATAGGTTAACCAGAAATTCTGAGCTGACAAGGGAAGAATATTACTATTATTACCTACTTTTTTGCTTCCTGTAAATACTTTTCTATCTAGACTGGCAGTTATACTTTGTCTATTAGTTACTTATACTGGTATACTCTGTTCTTCTCACTTCCTAATATGCATAAGCTCCAGGATGACAGAGACTTTTTTTTTCCATCTGTCTATCTTTCTTATTCCTGCTACAGCACCTAGCAAAAATGTTTTACACATAGCATATACTCACTATGTTTGCTGCATTAAATTAAAAAAAAAGAAAATCCAGGGCAGTCAGGAAAAAGAAGAGAAAACTTGTTCTTCATTATTTCAGAAGGCAAAAATCAAGACAGATTGGGAGAAAAGTATGGGGAGGCCTATCAGGCCAACATTAACACAAAACTTCTTTAGCACTAGTTGCCTTGAGAGGTAACAATGTCCCCTTACCACCTCTGAAGTATTAAAAAAGAGGCTGCACTGGGTCGCCTAGGTGGCTCAGTCGTTAAGCGTCTGCCTTCGGCTCAGGTCATGGTCCCAGGGTCCTGGGATCGGGCCCCCACATCGGGCTCCTCGCTCAGCGGGAAGGCTGCTTCTCCCTCTCCCACTCCCCCTGCTTGTGTTCCCTCTCTCACTGTGTCTCTCTCTGTCAAATAAGTAAATAAAAAAAAAAAAAATCTTAAAAAAAAAAAAAGGCTGCATGCCCACTGGCAGGGATTATGGGGCTATCTATCTCTGGAGGCTCATCTATTTCTCTATGTCTAGACTGCATTAAGGTAGAAGGGAACTTTGAGATCTGCTTTAAATTCTTTTAAGATTTTGTGTTTCTGAATAAGGCCGTCCTTTAAGATTTTGTGTTTCTGAATAAGGAGACTCAGACTGAAAAACAAATGAAGAAAATAAGGAGAAAGAAATCTATCACATAACCTATACTAGGATAGGTATTTCCCACCCCAATGGAAATCTGTTATTTGATAATATAAAAGCTCGAGCCTACTTTATCAGAGAATTATGTTATCAGAACAAACCTCTGCGCACTAGGCATTTCACATGTGTTACTCTCATTTCATCCTTGTTATTACCCCCATTTCATAAAAGGACACTGATACTTAAGAGAATAAGCAATGACTGGGTTTTGAACTTTGAAACCACGTTCCTTCCACTGAACCTACCCACCTCTAAGATAATTTAGCACTGGCAAAATACAGCATTGGCTCTTTTGTGTACTGTCATTAGAAAACTTAATTTTCTACCATATCTTGATTCCATACCATAAATTTATGTATGCAGGTCTTACCACTTATTTCAAGCTCTGCCCAGTGTGATTTCTTTCCATTTGCTGCTTCCTCAGAGGACATAATTGTGTACATCCTCCTAGGATCAGGGGGCTCGTATTTTTCTTTGGGCATGCCTGTTGAATTAAAAAAATCCAATCAGTATTCTGAAGAACCAAATAACTGAAAACAACGATGTCTTTTTAAAAATAAACACCCATATTATGATCTCTAAATACCATTTCCCAAGAAAAAGAACTAGGTGCTTCTTGGAGAAATGGAGGATTTCAGGTCCAGGATCAGAAAAATAAAAAACAGGGCTGGATGCTAACAAAGATGCTGTGGCTGTGGAAGACACAGCAGACAGCCTGGAGAAGCAACCAGTGGCCACAGGTAAGACATGGACATCAAAAGAATGGCTCTGAGTCATTATATACTGCATGAATTCAAAGCTTTAATTAAAAATATATATATATCTCAGTCACCTAAAAAGTGGGAAAGGGAAAGAATCAAGCATTTATCCTGCATTTCTGGCTGAAACTAGATAAGGGAATGTTCTTAACAGAATTCCAGCTAATAAATGCAAAAGAGTCACATAATTACAAAATCACTATTTCACAACCCCTAATGAAAAAAAAATGAATCTAGGCAATGATTACCAAAGATTAATAAAAGCATTAGGTGAGGGGCGCCTGGGTGGCTCAGCGGTTAAGTGTCTGCCTTTGGCTCAGGTCATGATCCCAGGGTCCTGGGATCGAGCCCCACATCGGGCTCCCTGCTCAGCGGGAAGCCTGCTTCTCCCTCTCCCTCTCCCTCTCCCTCTGCTTGTATTCCCTCTCTTGCTGTGTCTCTGTCAAATAAATAAATAAAATCTTTAAAAAAAAAAAAAACAACTGAATGTGAATCCTATCAAGCCCTTCTAACTTCTGGCACCAGTTGAACAAAATAAAGGAGATAGAGGACTATGTTAAAAATAACACAAGACACAACAACGTGAACACACTGAACACTACTGAACCATATACTTAAAAATGGCTAAGGCATAAATTTTGTTATATTTTAACCACAATTAAAAAATTTTTAAAAATCTTAAATAACTTCACAAAAATACAGCTAGCCAGATGCAGAATATGCAGAGTTCTACATGAGAAAGACCTAATTTCTTCAACAAATGACATGAAAATAAGACAAGAAGAAATTGACATGGATTAAACAATTTACAAGGCACAGCAATCAAATGCACTAAATATACTATATACACCTATATTTGGAAAAACCAAGTGTAAAAACCATTTCTGAGAATCAGACAATTTGAAGTACTAAATATAAATTGATACTGAAGGACTATTGTTCATTTCGCTTGTGGTTATTTCCTTAACCCTCTGTTATCAATACATTTCGAAATATTTAGGTGAAATGAAGTTTCACGCCCTTTGCATATTCCTCCAAACTCCTTGACTGAGTCTCACTTCACCTTATTCACTTAGATGAGGTCAAACCCACTTCAGCCAACTCTCCACCTTCTCTGGATACCTACTCGGCTAAATATAGCTGGAGAAGAACCTACCACCATGTGAACTTAAAGTGAGCCAGTCAGCAGCAATCATTTACCTCTAATGGACTATTTGTGCTACCAGGAAATTATACTGTTAATTCTCCTAGTCCCTTCTACATGACTTCTCCCTTCAAACCTCTAACATTTACTCCTCCATCTTCCCTTTCTTACTTCTATTTTCTCACTGAAACAGAAAACACAAGAGCCCTTTCTATGAACTCGCACCTCCACCCATCTACACTCTTTTAGTAGGACAAACTGCTTGCCCTCTGAACACTCAATCCCACCCCATCATCTTGCCTATTCAAGGACATTACTTGGCAATTCTCTCATACATCACTTTTTGCCTCTATACTAGATCTTTACCTTCAAAATACACGTACATGGTATTATTTCCTCTATTTAAATATAATAAAGTCCTGACCCCATTTCTCCCTCATTACTTTTTTCTCATTCTCTTCACAAAATACATTATCCCCCGGAGTCGTACGTGCTGTCTCCTAGTCCTCCTTTCCCAGTTAGTCATTCAAGTCAGTATGTGCTTTTAACATTCCACCAAAAACTGCCAAGAAGAAAACCAGTGACCTCACATTGTTATAGCCAATGGTCGTTTCTTAGACCTCCTTTTGCTTGTTCTATGATCAGTATTTGATGTAAAGGATCACTCCCTTGTAGACACACTTATTTATTTGGCTTCCAAGGTATCTTTTATCTTGGTTTTCTTCTTATCTCAATAGACTTAGTCTTTTGCTAGTTCTTCCTGCAGTCAGAATTAACTCCATTTTACCAACAGAAACCCGAAGCCCAAAACGGTTTAAGCAATTTAACCAGTATTATAAGGCTGAGAAGTAGCAGAGTCAGGCTTTGTGTCTGATTCAAAGTTAAAGTTACGGGCACGGGCGCCTGGGTGGCTCAGTTGGTTAAGCGACTGCCTTCGGCTCAGGTCATGATGCTGGGGTCCCCGGATCAAGTCCCGCATCATCCGGCTCCCTGCTCAGTGGGGAGTCGGCTTCGCCCTCTGACCCTCCCCCCTCTCGTGTGCTCTCTCTCTCAAATAAAATCTTTAAAAAAAAAAAGTTAAAGCTACTTTCTAAGTGAAATAAGCCAATCACAAGAAGACAAATAATTGTATGATTTCATTTACTTGAGGTACTAATGTAGTCAAACTCAAGAGAGACGGAAAGTAGAATGGTAGTTGTCAGGGCTGGGGAAGGGAAGTTACTGAAAATGTGTAGAGTTTCAGTTTACAAAAGAAGAATTATGGAGATGGATGATGGTAATGGTTGCACAACATTATGAATGTATATAATACTACTGACTGCTACACTTAAAAATGGTTAAGACGGTAAATTTTATGTGTATTTGCCACAATAAAAAAAAGACTGGAAAAAAGTCAAAGCAACTTTCATTATGCTATGCTGCCTCCCTAGTGATGGGAAGTAGAGCTATTTTTGAAACAGAAATGGGCTCTGACTGGGTAGTCAAAACAGAAAAGGAGGTAAATAATCCTTAAAAAGCTGCTTGAAAAAATATAAATGGTGAGACTAATCATCTGCACAAAAAACAGCACATCTATTTTTTGTTTTGTTAAATATTATTGATAAAACAAACTGTTCTCTTACATGTTAACTTCTTGAGACTAGAATACAATGACTAAAGTTTTTAGACTGATGATACAAAATACCTAACAGAGAGCTACAGAGTCAGAAACTGTTCCCATTCTAGAGGATTACCTGGCAAAGCAAGTGCCCTTTTTGAATGATATGAATATTCCAGTAACAACCTAGAAAATATAAAATGTTGTGTCAGGCTACCAGAGCTTGATGAGTACAGCCCATCACCCAAATGCCATTATTCTAACCAGATTCTACTTCAAAAACAAAAACAAAAACCAACCACCTGATCTATATTGACTTTTCCCAATAAAATTTCCCAATAAAATTTAACAATGGTGAGAAACTGGCTTTGTCCAGGTGAGGTTAGTATTTTGGTCCTATTATTAATCATTTGACTTCTTAGTGGAAGTTGAGAAGTCTGATTTATCAACCTCATGTGAGCTTAGTTACTTTGAATCAAGGTCCAGAGTTTGATCACACTTCAGAGAATGGATAAAAGTGTTACTGAGCTAAGAAGTCTGAAAACCAGGGGCGCCTGGGTGGCTCAGTCGGTTAAACATCTGCCTTCAGCTCAGGTCATGATCTCAGGGTCCTGGGATCGAGTCCCACATCGGGCTCCCCACTCAGTGGGGAGCCTGCTTCTCTCTCTCCTTCTGCTGCTCCCCCTGCTTGCGCTCTTGCTCTCTGTCAAGTAAGTAATAAAATCTTAAAAAAAATATTTTAAGAGACAGCTCATTAAACTCGAAAGCAGCAAGGAGACCATCTTTATTTCCAAATCCCTGAGAGTAAGGATTTGGAAGTAGGGGGGAAAAAAAAAAGAGTACGACAGAATAAAAGAAATGGTAGCACATAAATTGTCCAATCACTACAGTGTACACCTGAAACTAATGTAACACTGTGTGTCAACTATAGTCAAATTAAAAAAAAAAAGGTAGCAAACTAGACAAACTTTCCAGGAGCAGCAAGAGGAGCACATCTGCCCACTGAGCAACGCCCTTCCCCTATTTTTGGGGGAGTCTGGCAAAACATAGTGTTGGAGGAGAAAAGGATGTAAGAATGCATACAATTTAGGACGTTTCCCAAGACTTTGAAATCAACAAGCAGATCTCTCCTCTAAATAACCTGCAGTGACATACCGTATTTTTATCTAAGAAGACTAAAAGGTTTCCAAAACAGACTTGAAAACTGCCAAGGATTACAAAAGACTTTTAAAAACAGCTACGCCAAAGTCAGCAGGTATGTAGCACCTGACTAGTCAATCCCCTATTCCTCCAACCCAGGGCCAGGCGTCACTACTGATCCTGGCAGCATAAAGCCCGTCCCCACTCTAGATCTCAGAGAAACAGTTTTCATTATCTTAGAAGAATTATTTACCTTAAACACAGGACATTATTTACCAACACAGAAAGATATGCTTTCATAATTTTGTAAGGAATGGCTTAAAACTACAGAACTATAGCCATCGTGGGAAAGTTAGTGTTGCAAAGCAGAGTTACAAACCATAACACAACTAATAAGACTATCCTGGAGCATTTAAACTAAGGTAACCTAACTGCATACCATAAACTTAGAAAAACTGCCATCTAGATAGGGAAAAAAATTTAGAAATCCACATATTCTCTACAATTCCAGAAATGCTACGCATGAGTGTGTGTGTGTGTGTGTGTGTGTGTGTGTGTGTGTGTGTGTGTGTG